GAGAGAGAGAGAGAGAGAGAGAGAGAGAGAGAGAAATAAGAGACAATGAGAATGGATGAATGGCAGACAAATGTCACGTCTTTCGCACATAAATCAAACGATAGAAATCATTAATTTTTGTCCTTCTCTTGAATTTCTCTCGTAATTCTCTCTCTATGTTCTGAATTATTCCCAGAAGTGGTGTTGTCTTCAGATTAAATACACAGAAAACTCGTTTTGCTTTGCAATACATCTCAATAAATAGCATAAAAAGCAAACTATAAACGTATTCCTCATTATCGACAAAGAATATGTTTTTGTACTAAAAAAATCCGGGAATTTAATCATAGGTATATATAAACTCCATGTAAATGATTATGCGCTTGCATTCAATGCCTAATAGAAAATATATAAATTCTGTCACTAATAATTAGCTTTTTTATACGAAACACAATTTTTGTTGTTTTTGTTATTTTCTCTTTCAATATAAAAGGATGTTTTGAAAACGGAAATTTAGTTTTTTTTTGTTAACAATATTATAAATAAAATTTGATTTTAGTTTGATATTTAAGACAGAAAATTAGCATTATTTTTGGAAATTTTGAGCTCTAATTCACTGACATTTGTTTAATTCATAGTTATTATTAAATTATTCAGTTTTATATACGAATAATAATGTGCTTAATGTTTAAAAATCAACGAATACAAACGAATTTGTATATACATTAGATGTAGTTAACTAATAAATCTCATTTCATGCAGAATATTCTTAATTTAAGTAACTCATAGGAATTCTTCACTTTAAAAGAGATGACTTTAAAATATGTTTTAAATATATAAATATTAAATTTTCTTACCATTAGATATAAGTATGAATTAAAAAGATTTCTTAATTTGCACAAATAGTATTAAATATTATTGGATTAAAATAACTTGAGTGTGAATAATGCAAATGTTTTAATTGATATAAAATGTTATAATAAATACAAATGAAATATGGTTGAGAAGAAGAGAGACAACTGAATATTCTGGTATATAATAGAGTTTCTATCTCTCACGCACTGTGTATTCAATGTACGACTTTGTGAACACAGAATATTCTTCTATCACTTTTCAACAACGAGTCAATAGAGAGATAGAGAACCAGAATAAGGAATCGGAGCGCAAAACAGAGCGCATGTATGTGTCCTAACACTAACCGCTTGTGTACTCCATATATCGTCTACACCTGTATGTTATCGAGCGGTTAAATCAATGAACACACAATCATACAGTTATCACTAATGCCAGTATTGTTTGCTAAAAACATAATCAAAAATAGCTTAACATTGAATTTGAATACAAATGTAAAGTAATTTATGAAAATTGGGATTTAATATTCATTGCATTTTTTGTTTTGTTGTTTTTGATTGATTTTTTTTTGTCTTTGTTGTTAATTCCTTCCCAAGGAATTCGTGTGATTATAGAAATACTTGTCTTTACTGTATGTGAAACTAATATAGAGTTAATCTCGCATTTTTGTCATTAGTGGAGAAGAAAGTTATGCTTAATTTGCTCAATACTGGTGACCGACAAAATACAGACCGCATTCTCCACACAATCAGATGATTTTGCACACAAATGCCCATACATTTCAAGGACTAAACATTAGGATTAGATTTGACACGAATTATGAAGTCATATCTTATTAGTTATGATGACATTTACTTCAAAGTGTATACCTTATCAGCGATAAGTGGTGTCCGGTCCAGTGATAAGCTGTTTTCATGCCCAGGGTTTGAAACATATTTCAAACATGATAAAATGTGTGCACTTTTCCTAATTAAATTACATTTTTAAAAATTTGCGCCAATTTTCATACCTTATTGTATGCAATATAATACCAATAAAAAAATATAATTAATTAATTATAACAGCAATTAAATGATACCAATAAAAATATACTAAAATTAATTCTCAATTTTATTGAAATGTTTCGAAAATAGGATTTTGTATTTTAAACCCAAATGCCAGAAATGTATTTTAATATTAACGTACAATTAAAGTGTGAAATGTGTTTAAAAACTTTATTAAATAAAAAAAATTGACAATAAAATTATCAGTCGTTGTGAAGACACAGGTGTCTTAAAATGACCGAATACAGCCTTAAAGTACAATTATATAGAAATTAATGATTTGTTTTAAATATAAACCGTATTATAAAATGAATACATTTTTTCTGTCAGTTTTTAATGATGAGAGTATTAAATGAAAACGATATACACATTCATTTGTATCGAAATCAATAGTTAAATTAAATTAAATTACAAATTAGGAAACAAATTGAATGAATAGTAGTTTAATATGAGAATACAGACAAACCTGTTCTTGAGGTGACATCTGTTCCCATATTATACAGATATATGAGTACTGAATGTGTAGACATCTATTAAACCATTGATTGCATCAATATTTCTGATTATTTACTTAAAATTAGAAAAATTATTTCAATTGAAAAAACATGAAAACAAATTGCAATTAATTATTTAGAAATTAATATAAATTAATAAATATATAATTCATTGCCATTTTAAGTCAAACATAATATAAAATGATAACTCAATGCTCTATACATTCAGTATTTAATATAGTAATTGATTTGAATTATAGTCGAAATTAATTATTTAACTCATAATAAGATGAGAAATACAGAGAAAGGAGAAAATAATGACAAAAACAACTGAAAAAGTAGTCTTAAAACAACATGAGATACAGAGGAGGAGGTTATGTGAAGAGACGAAACGCCATTACGTGACCACACATTAGTCAGCTTTGGAGGCGGCGGTCAACTCTTCGGCGTTTGAATGCCACGTCAGGCGGTCCTCATAGAACTTGATCACAATCTGTGGACACAAAGAAGACCACAATAACCAAACAAATCCCAATCAATGCATTCAAAAGTGACACAAAACCACAGGTTTTGCATCACTACAAAAGTGAGAGCACGTCATAAATGATGGCATAAAGTGGTATACAATACCTGCGGACACTTGACATTAGCCATCTTCGCGGGCACGAGATCGGCCTCATCCGAGTCGAGCCATTTCATGAGAAACATGAGTTCTCCGGAAGCGTCGGTCGCGCCGAGTATGCGATCGGGTCGGAGGCCGCGCTCAAAGCCGCCGCGAGGCTTCTTCATCGCGTCGTCGAAGTCCTCCTCCAGTGATTTGTCGCCCTTTCCGGGCCGTCCGGGAGTGGCTCTACGGCTCCTCTTGTCCAACACCGGTGTCTCGTCGCGCGAACCGCCTCTACGGCGACCGTCGGGTGTGGCCGAAGAGCCGGCGGCGCCCTTGTCTTTGCGGCGCTTCTCCTCGAAAGCATCGATGAGTCCGTCACAGTCCAGGTTCTCCTTCGGCTCCCATGTGTTCTCTTCGTCCGGATATCCCTTCCATTTGAGCAAATACTGGATCTTTCCCTTTACGTTGCGTTTGTCCACCACTTTCTCCACCACATAGTCCTCCACGGCCTCCACGTCCGCCCCGTCGTCGCTGTCTTTGGTCTTTCGCGGCATTTCTTACTGTCTTATCGTTTGTTTGGTTTGTGTCGGCCTTTGCGTGGCGTGTCTTCCGATGCTGTCGTCAACGAGTGGATCCCAAGGAGTGAATCGGTCGCACGTGTGGGTCGTGTGTGTTGTCTGCTGTGAGTGTCACCGATTGGCGATCAAAACGTGGTCTGCAGTCAAAGCTATTGTCTCAACGAGTGATCAATTAATTTGCTGTTGAATTGCATTCAAAACACATTCACTTCAATACAAACACTCATTCAATGAAAGCACCGATACTTTTGGCGCAATCGATGTCTCCACTCATCGATACCTTTCAGACACTAATTACGTCCGGATTTCTACTTTTTTATATGTTTTACGTTTTTCAATGACTTTGCGTTCAAAAAGTTTTTGCATTACAAAAAAAGTTTTGTATAATTTGTTAATTAGTTTTAGATTTTATTTAAATTCAGTATAAATTGATGTCCAATAAAAGCGGTCATAGAGTTTGATGGGTTTTAAAGGGTTTCCCGTCGACTGTTGTCCTCTAAGACACGCCTGTCGTCAATGTCTTGAGCCGTTTCGTAAGAGTTAGGAAACCATTTGACATAAATGGGTGCGAAGTTGAAGAGATCCGGATGACCGAAATGGGAGCCATCCATACCACTGGTCGACCACCGGAAGGCCGGCTGTTGCACATCAGTGGGTCCGCTGACGGCCAACATCTGCAACTGCGAGACCATTGACGAGTTGGTCATCTTGGCGTCGGTGGCGCACTCGTCCTGGTATTCCCACCACTCAATCGGGTACTGACCGTCCGGATCGCTGAGATCACTGCGGGAAGCGATGGCCAGACCGGCCGAATTGGGCGGATCGCACACCTGGTTATATGTCTCGCACTGAGACAACGGGTCGTGTTTGAAATCGTTGTATCTCATGAGTTGGTACAATGTCTTCAAATCGGTCACTTTGGACTGATCCCGATGAAAGATCTGCGCTCTGGCCGTCTTGTCGTGACTATAAAAGGGTCCCATTTTGCGGAACAGTTCCGCATCACCGCTCATGTCGTAGATGTCCTTAAAATAGGGCACATTATATGAGGCCCAATAGCCCTGCGATCGGAGCACATGTGTAACGTCGGCCACCCGTACGAGAGTCGGCATCTGTTCTATAATCCAAAGCAAATTGTTTGGCAAATCAGACACTTTTGTTCCCTTTTTGAACAGTTTGTAGTCAACGACCATAAACTGGTTATTATAAGTGCCGCTATTGTGGGCACCGAATAAATCGGTCCACTCTTTGCCAGAATTGGCCAAACGATTGGCCACAAGATTTCGCGCGAACTCAAGCACTATATTATCTGCTCGTATGTCGCGATACAGAGACGGGTTGTTATTGGCATTTGTCGTCTCCTGAACCACGAGACCAGAGGACAGAATATAATAGTCATCGCAGGAGAAGACAAGTCCGGGTGACGACGAGAAGGACACCGAATGGCCAGCGATTCGCTTCACCGGCTTTGACTCGACTGTATTGAAGGCAAAGCTATATTTCTTGACAATCCGTAACATAGAATCAAATGTAGTCCAAGTGTTGTGAGCGACGTATAGATCGCTTCCGTCGGCCAGTGGTTTGACAATTGCCGAGCAAACCAGAGATACCCCTGCGCAGAGCAATCCCTAATTCTAAGGAGAATTTAGTAGGCAAAGACGCAATTACAAATCGGTGTCTTAAAGTGAGTTCATAAATGAGAGGCTACCTAAGAACTAAAACAAGATGTAGCCGCGATTCTACTCGTGACCACAAATTGTCTTCTTCCGAGTCTTGTCCACCAATTGGTCTTCAATTGGCGACAAGAATAACGCCTAAAGTGACGCAAATATCACTGAATTGGACGCAAAAAGGGACAGAACCTCTCTTTTGCGCCAATACTATCACTACAACGGATCCGCTCTCAGAATGTCTTGTTCTGGGGATCAGAAGACAGTTTATGAATGACTTCTCGAGGAATAACTCAAGAAAAACACTTCAAAACGGATTACAAATGGATTCAATCCTTAGAAACCAATGTATTTAGACTTCAATCGCAATTGAAATCAATTCAAAAATTATTAATACTTTAAATAAAAACACTTTTAATTAAAATAAATGAACTTTTTTATTGATGTCTTGAAAAAGACATTTGTCTTCACTTTTAATATTAAATTGTAATCAAAACTAAAAACTTAAACACAATTTAAAATACAATTTCAAATCCTTATGAAATTGGAGTCAATACTTGTCGCTAAGGATCTCAAACAAAGACTGAATATAAAGCATTGAAAATGTGGTCAATTTGGGGTCAATTGTCCAGAAAAACCGTTTAAAGTAAAAGTTTTAAAATCATTGGTCAGTNTGTAGCCGCGATTCTACTCGTGACCACAAATTGTCTTCTTCCGAGTCTTGTCCACCAATTGGTCTTCAATTGGCGACAAGAATAACGCCTAAAGTGACGCAAATATCACTGAATTGGACGCAAAAAGGGACAGAACCTCTCTTTTGCGCCAATACTATCACTACAACGGATCCGCTCTCAGAATGTCTTGTTCTGGGGATCAGAAGACAGTTTATGAATGACTTCTCGAGGAATAACTCAAGAAAAACACTTCAAAACGGATTACAAATGGATTCAATCCTTAGAAACCAATGTATTTAGACTTCAATCGCAATTGAAATCAATTCAAAAATTATTAATACTTTAAATAAAAACACTTTTAATTAAAATAAATGAACTTTTTTATTGATGTCTTGAAAAAGACATTTGTCTTCACTTTTAATATTAAATTGTAATCAAAACTAAAAACTTAAACACAATTTAAAATACAATTTCAAATCCTTATGAAATTGGAGTCAATACTTGTCGCTAAGGATCTCAAACAAAGACTGAATATAAAGCATTGAAAATGTGGTCAATTTGGGGTCAATTGTCCAGAAAAACCGTTTAAAGTAAAAGTTTTAAAATCATTGGTCAGTAAAACGGGTCTAAAGTCCGTAACTGAGGACTGATTCAAAGGATTGCACAGAAATGTATTGAAAAGACAGGTATTTGAATGTGTAGTACATGTGTATAGCATGTGATCAATAGGAAAGGTATGTATAGTGTTGTGATCGGTGTGTGTAATGAGACATCTATTGGTGAGTATAATATTTATAATAAACTTCTAATTAACTTAATAACTAATTATAAGTGTTTTTTAACTATTAGGCAATTACTCCTACAAATACTTCCCCCCAAAAAACACTTACAATTAGTTATTTCACATTATATTCTATAATCAAATCAAATAAAATAAATCTAAATAAAGAAATTTTTAAAACAGTAATTGTATAATAAATGAATGAATGAATGAATTGAATGTTAACTAATCATTAGAATCGTTGCCATCATTGGAGGAATCGGTTTCGATGACGGCTGCGGCCTGTGTTCGGCGTCGTTGGCGCTCAGCCTTCTTCTTCCTAAACTCGGTTTCCTTGGCTTTGCATTTGTCGTCATCAATATCTTCAGGGCATTCCTCCTTCACGTGTCCTATTTTGTCACAATTAAAACAAGTCATCCTTTTCTTCCAATCATCGGACGTCTGGCCGTTGTTTTGAGTTCTGGTCTCTTTGCCGCCTCTTCTTGGATTCTCTTCCAGCGCTTGGACTCCAACTTTTGGTTCTTTTCGGTTCTTCGGGATATTGTCCCGCAATAAAGCCATCATATGGTCGGGATCTGTTGCTTGTGACACAAATGATGAATATCCCAAGTTTCTCATATTTCTTGAGATTGTTTTCTTGATTTTATCAAATGGTAACTCAAGAGCGTCTCCGATGGACAGCATATTAGATGCAAAATCTAAGTGATCTTCGTTTTGTTCCCTTTCTTTCTCTTCAAAACATCTGATATCGTGGTCAATGTCTCCGAATCTCTTCCTCAACTTCTCCACAAATGATGGGTAGTTTAGATCTTCTTTTGCCCTGAAGTTTGATGTGTGCCAATTGATGGCCGGACCTCTCATTGCTCCTAACGTGTGCTGAAACTTCATGTCTTCGGTCCAATTGTTAGCGATTCCCACGGCGTCGAGATGTCTCAGGAATTGGCTGACAGGCGTCTTATCGGGAATGAAATCTCTGACCTTCTGGACAATGGTTTGTGGTTTTGGTTGAGTTGACGTCACTCTATCGGTCAATGCCTTCATCCACGAGAAGAGCTGTGAATTCGGGTCAATTAGGACTCCATTAGATAGGAGTGAATCAGGTTTCGAGACATTAGAGTTGTCTTCACTTCTGGGAATCTTCGGCTCCGAGTGTTGAGAATCAGGTGAACGACGAGACGAATCGATTCTTGAAGGTCTCGGCGTCGGAGCTTTCCTGGACGGTCCTGGAGTCGGATCTTGTGAACGACTTGGAGTTCGTTCACGTGATGGTCGTCTTGAGGGTTCGCGCGATCGGTTCGGCCGACGTCTGGGCGGCGATCGACGCGATTCTTGATGTGAATCTGGAGGTGAATCGTGTGAACGTTGAGACGATTCGTTTCTTGAAGGTCTCGGAGTCGGGTCTCGCGAACGACTCAGTGTTCGCTCACGTGATGGACGTCTGGAAGGCTCTCGCGATCGACTCGGCCAACGTCTAGGCGAAGGTCGACGCGAGCTTTGAGGCGAATCATTTGGTGAGTCGGGAGGTGAAGGAGATTCATGTCCTCCTCTCTGTCTTCCTCGGGTCTGTCCAGCGATTCCATCGCTTCTCGCCTTTGGAATCGTGTTCTGAATGGCATTTGAGTCTTGAGGAGTGTATGGCGGCGGAGGCGGTGGCATATTCTGGCCCGAGAACTGATTATTTGCTTCACGTATCGCTTCCTCTTGTCTCTCCATATACTTATCGTAATCTTCATGAGTCATAACAAACTCGAGTCCATCTATTATGACACTAATACGAGCAGAACTAGTGCTCTGACGGTATAGCGACTCTTCTGACCGACCATTGCTTTCACTTCTCTTCTCTTTCTTTGGTTGGGATTTGCCTCTCATTTCTTGATCCCATTCTTCTTGCAGTCGACGCGCGTATTCTTTATCCGATTCCAACTGTTTCTCCCATTTCTTCTTCTCATTCTGTTTCTCATTTTTTGCCTTTGGTTTTGAGGAATCATTTCCTAGTTTTCTCACCTCTTCTTCCATAAAATCTAACCTCAATTCCTTTTCCAAACGCTTTGCATATTCTTCATCAGCTTTTAATTGTTTGTCTCTTCTCTTCTTCTCAATGTCTTCAAAAACATTCCCATTTAATTCTCGATGTATTCTTCGAGCGTATTGTTCGTCAGCTTTTCTCTGTCTTTCCGTCTCTTCCTTCTTGTTATTCTCGACCAGTCTTTCCCTCAAACGACTGATTCGTTCACATCTTTTCCTCTGTTCTTCTAATTCTTGTTCAAAAGCCAAGTTTACTGACTCTTGTTGTCGTCTTTCCTCTTCTTCTTGTCGTTTCCGGAATTCTTCCTTTTCTTTTCGTCGTCTCTGAATCTCTTCTTCTTCTTCTTGGAGACGACGTCTCTCTTCTCTTTCTTCGACTAGTCTTTGAAGCGCTTCTTCTTCTAAGTCTAAGTCTCGGGATTCAGCTCTCAATCGACAGACATCTGCTTCCGTAGGATTGAGTGCATCCGTCTCCGCACCGATCGGGCGGCCATCGAACTCGAGTTCACCACTGTTTGGGTCTCTAGTGATGCCTATTTGGGTGGTTCTCCGGCCACCGCTTCCACTCGGCTGCAGAACATTGTCGTCATTCACGCCATTATTATTGTCATTCGTGGCGTCAAACGACTCGTCATTCATATTGTGGTCTCTGTTGTCATCATTGGCACCGTATTGGGCGCCGAACTCGTCCTCATTTTCGTTTTGGCTGTACTCGTGATCTCTGAGGGTGTCTTCGTTTGCGTCCTCAAAGTCGTGATCATTGTTATGATCATCGGATCCAGTGTTTGACAAAATGTCATCGTTTTCCTGATTGTTCTCCATTTCGTCGCGACTTTCGGCCAACTGTTGTCTTGACAGCAGATTATTCAGTCTTCTCTGACTAATGGGTAACTTGTCGTCAGTTTCCACTCCTCTGCGGGTTCTGACCATTAAATCGTTAATTCTTGGGAACCGGTGATAGCGTTACGGTTTTGCCCGACGCTATGCACTGTTAAACTCTCGCACCTCCACCAAACACATCGGCGCTAAGATGAGCACTGGTGTTTAACAGAAGAAGGCTCAGAACAGGTGGTTAACCAGAAGTTAACCGCTGTTCTTATTGCGGATTTCACTGCGTTTATAGTGACTTAACCTGCGTTTTTCGGACAGAACCTCTCTTTTGCGCCAATACTATCACTACAACGGATCCGCTCTCAGAATGTCTTGTTCTGGGGATCAGAAGACAGTTTATGAATGACTTCTCGAGGAATAACTCAAGAAAAACACTTCAAAACGGATTACAAATGGATTCAATCCTTAGAAACCAATGTATTTAGACTTCAATCGCAATTGAAATCAATTCAAAAATTATTAATACTTTAAATAAAAACACTTTTAATTAAAATAAATGAACTTTTTATTGATGTCTTTGAAAAAGACATTTGTCTTCACTTTTAATATTAAATTGTAATCAAAACTAAAAACTTAAACACAATTTAAAATACAATTTCAAATCCTTATGAAATTGGAGTCAATACTTGTCGCTAAGGATCTCAAACAAAGACTGAATATAAAGCATTGAAAATGTGGTCAATTTGGGGTCAATTGTCCAGAAAAACCGTTTAAAGTAAAAGTTTTAAAATCATTGGTCAGTAAAACGGGTCTAAAGTCCGTAACTGAGGACTGATTCAAAGGATTGCACAGAAATGTATTGAAAAGACAGGTATTTGAATGTGTAGTACATGTGTATAGCATGTGATCAATAGGAAAGGTATGTATAGTGTTGTGATCGGTGTGTGTAATGAGACATCTATTGGTGAGTATAATATTTATAATAAACTTCTAATTAACTTAATAACTAATTATAAGTGTTTTTTAACTATTAGGCAATTACTCCTACATTCTCCACTTTCCATCTGTTGTATCCCTTTTCCAATCCATTCAACTGTTTGTAAATCACATCCAATTGGTGCCAATAATCGCTGTCTTTGTTTTTAGCGATCATTTCATTGATAAATTTGGTATTATTTGTGACAAATTGTTTAAGCAATTCACAGAATCGCTTTTCCCCATCACAACTGCCTTCAGCGATATTGCGAAAACTCATGTGAATTAGTTCTCCAGTGATGTATCCCTCGAGAACTCCAGCCATAGATGATTGGACTTCATCTGAGAAGCGATCAAAAGTCTGCAGCTCTAGATTTGCCCAACTTTTCAATTGTTTGATCAAATAATTCAATTAATTAAAAGAATTGTATTAACGATAACTTATTGATGGAATAAATACCCGGTTTTGTTAACATTATTCTCGTATATGATTAAAGCCACGGCTTCTTTAGGCACATCAATGGTTGTTTGGTTATGTGTATCGCCTGAGTGTATGTCACCATCGCTTGTAATGTAATGATATTTAACAGATGAAACACATTTCATAACAAGTAAAGTGAAAATAATTGTCACAAAAGGGGACTTCATTTCGAGTTAAAGAATATTCAGTTATTCAGAAAACTAGACAACTGAATGAACGGTACAATTGAAGCCAACACTTCATCTAATGAAGTATTATACGTCTACAGTATTTTTGGCTTCAATTTATAGTAAATCGATATATAATTAATGAATAAATACTCAAAAAAAAGTCAAGTGAATCGATAAGATTAGCAAAGATAATGGTATTCATGAAACAATTGTCTTGTGTTTCAACAGAACTTACGATTCACTTCTTGTAATACATGTCAAACTCGAAATAATTAGTGCAATATTCACACAAAATTACAAACAATTCATAACAATTTTAATTTAATCACAAATTCTGTACACATTTTAAATACCGCTGTATTAATAAAATGCAGATTAAAATTTCATACTATAATTAACAATATATTTAACAAATCTAATAATTTTTTAAAAACTTTCTATAATAGCATTTCATTTATGTTCATAACTGGCTTTAGATGTATTGCTTTTGTCATTACTTTCACTCAACGATTTGTCTCTCACTTTAAGCGACGGTTGACTTAAAGCAATATCGGCTTCAGAAAGAATTATAAGGACTACCATAATGGCGCCAATCATCAACGCGGCCATCGTTTTGAACTGACCCTCTTCTATAGTTCTGTTGATGATCTCTTCGTTGGCTTTACTGATCCGTTCAAAGTGTTCGGCGTATCGTTTCTGCATCTCTTCGTTGAAGTGATCCCTTAAGTACTCTTTGTGGTCGAAGTCCATCGGATCGTAATATGTGTGCTTCCGTTTCGGCTCTTCATCCCTACGGAACAGATTCTCTTTGCGGACCCGCTTTCGCCATATGGTCTGCGAGTAGTCTTCGGTGTCGTTCACGCGATCACTAAACCGATTGATATCTCTGAACGAATCGAGATTCTCTTGATTCCGATCACTGGCGTTGAGAGTGAGTCTTCGGTTCACCAAATTGCCAATCCTCTGGTCGTACTCCAGTTTCGCGTCTTTATTGGCCAACACTTCGTACGCGACGGTAATCTCTTGGAACTGATTGGCCGACTCCGACGTCTGACACACGTCCGGGTGACAGGTCTTCGAGAGCTCATAGTATGCACTCTTGATCTGCTTGCGAGTGGCCGTCCGCTCGACGCCCAACACATCGTAATGGGTCTGAAATGAGCGCCGATTGGCGGCCACTGTCTGTCTTCGGTCGGCGCCGAAGTGTCTGCTGTCGTGCGGCCGATGTCTGACCGCATTGTCGGCGCAGATATGCCTCTCGGAGACGACTAACACGTGATTCAATTGACACGTTTTGCTCATCAGATTGTGGAGCATATGTCTGGACATCAATGACCACCGATGGATCGCCAGCTGATCCAGAGTTGGCCGCAAACTAATGGACACAACAATAGGTTTTTGTAGCAAAACATTGATTGACTCGTGTTTTAACTCACATTATGTCCCGTTTTATGACTTATATCTTATCATTAAATGTCTTTTCTAACATTAATTGAGTTCACAATTGCATTAAACCATCGATTTTACACATTTTGCACACTATTTAAGCGATTGTTTCGCAAAAACAGACTTTAAATGAGTTTTTGAATGTATTGTAGATTCAAAACAAACAAAACGAGCGCACGATTTGAATGCATTTATTACTGTTGATTGAGTTAGTGCTGAAAGTTATCAAAGTTTCGTATAATTAAATTTAGTGTTTATTTAATGTAATTTAAAGTAACATTTAATACATTATTTGCATTTAAAAATGTGCATGTGCAAAAAATGATGTATGATAGAAATAGTATTGAGTATGATCAGGTTGTATGCTCTCCAAAGTAATTCTTTGATGCAACTTTTGTCGAGACTGCTTACTAGGTGATTTAACGAAAACCACTTATAGAATTTTATATTATAAAAATGGTGATTTGAATTTTATTTTATAATATAGCATGCAATTAAATTCTGGTATCCATTCAATTGAATACAACTTTAGCATTAAATTGTATAATACATACAATGTATAATATTTTAATGTAAAGGTGCAATGTATTTTAATACTTTAGGTAAAACTGCGATGAACTATCAATGAGTAATCAAATGCAATACATCACATATCGACATAAATGCATGATTTATTTAACCCGTTATAATCTTAAATCATATCTTATTAATCATATTCAATGATTTAAACATCTCTTAAGCCGTGTAGACATGGGCTAACTCTTAGGAAAGGAGACAATGTGGCGATACCGGTGTTACCAACTTTTTACGTTAAACTGTTTTTAGATTTTACGTTTTTAGTGCTTGATACTTTTACTAATAATTAATAGTGTTCTGCTTTTAGGTACATTCAATTCAATAAATTTAATGATACAGATTTTAAGTGAGTGCTGACTTGTCCAGTATTAAAGCAATTAAAAATATTGATAAACTAATCAATAAGAACTTAATTGTAAAATAGTTTTTTAAATTCCCATAACACTAATATTTTTGGCAATATTTTAAACTGGTAAATGATTTATTTTGCACTAAATGTTATTAATTTACAAATCAAAATGATAAATGAATGTCAGAATATTCTGTTAACTGTTAACTTCTGTACTTAACAGACAAAGACAGACATAAAATGCGCAAAAAATTACAACATTTTAACGTATTTGTTCTCAAAGTTTAAAATTTAGGCATCAATTATGCACTGAAAGTGTTGGCATATCTCTCGCAAAATATAACTTTATTATCAAATGTTTTATCAATTTTAGTCATATTATTAATCGCGTCAATAAATGTTTGAATTCATTAAATCATATGCAAAGAAGACATAACAGACGCCCGACAATGAACCGCATAATATATGTGCACTTTTTGTGACATTTATGTGAATTTAATAATTATTCCACTTTTTTATTGCAATAATTTTAAATGAATTTCATGTTTAGATAACAATTACATCAAAATAAAGACAAAATCTTCCAGACCAGACATAAAGCTAATCAATGATTAAATATGATATTTATTTTTTATGCATCTTTTAAACATTTAAATAAATTGATAAATAAAAGGATATTTGGATTTACATGTATATTAAAAGCATGACTAATATTAAATGCAATAAAGTATGAATAATAGGAATTGTTCAGTTATTACACGAAAATTTTTATAAACACTTTTTTGATTAATAATTTTTTTAGGAAAACAATTAAAGGTATTTTGAAAAACATTGACACAAATTCCGTTTATCACCGCAAAGATTGGTTTATAGTTTTGGCACCAAATTAGATCAAAATGTATTATAACATTTAAAACATGTCTTGAATTTGTCATCAGAGTCTTTGAGAAGTCATACGATAGTCAATCAGTTGTGATAATCAATAGTGTTATCAAATGATTCATTGATTGGTAAATCAAAATAATTGAAAGCTATATTTCAACTAAAATGAGGCCAAAAGTGTGAATGTATTCATTGAATTTAGTGACAGTTTTAGACATATTCTTTGAAATATTCAATAAACACTTGCGATTAGTTTTTTGACATTTAAATTATATCTATTGAGAAAAAGGGATAACAAATGGAAACACCTCTTAAATTCTTGGATTATATAAAGACAAATACATTTTAAATTGAAGCACAACTATTGAGTTTATTCTTCAGATATAATATCGCTTAATATCTGCAGAATGTCTGTTACAGTGAGTGAACCGATTTATATGTTGGATCCGTCGCAGAACTATAGACCAGACTATAAAGATGTGGAAGAATATCGGATCTACAACAACGATCAGGTTATTTCTCAATATTTCATTTGGTGAACAAATAAAATGATAAATTGTTGTCACAAACAAACAGAACGACGAAATGCAGAAAATGATTTATGAAACCTATCGACAAATGCATACCAAACAGACGGTGGACTTTGTGAGGGATCGGACGGCCGTTTGGACTCAATTCAATACAATAGAGCTGCCAATTATGGCCGCTCTCGAGAAGCTCAACAGTTTCATTGACGAAAGTGATCCCGATATTAGTTTACCTAATTTGGTGCACGCCTTCCAGACGGCTGAAGGCATACGCAAAGCGCATCCCGACTTGGATTGGTTTCACTTGACGGGACTCATCCATGATTTGGGCAAAATTATGGCCATCTATGGAGAGCCCCAGTGGGCTGTAGTCGGCGATACATTCGCCGTCGGCTGCGCTTACGGCGAGAGTAATGTCTACCACGAATTGTTTGACAGGAATCCCGACAAAACAAATCCTAAATATAACACAAAACACGGAATATATTCGGAAAAGTGTGGATTAGACAAAGTGATGATGTCTTGGGGTCACGACGAGTACATGTATCGGGTGCTCAAGAATCACAAGAGCTGTTCTCTGCCCGAAGAGGCCCTATATATGATACGATTCCATTCGTTCTATCCGTGGCATAAAGGGGGCGATTATTATCACTTGTGTTCCGACAAAGACTTACAAATGCTAGACTGGATCCGAGAGTTCAATAAATTTGATCTCTACTCCAAATCTCCAGAACTTCCCGACATTAAGACATTAATTCCATACTATCAGTCCCTCATTGATAAATATATACCCGGATTAGTTAAGTTTTAACTTTATATGTTTTATAAACTTATAAATTATAAGTTATAATGAGTTTGTGTAAAACTTTATATAAATATTCATTATGTGTCAAATAAAGTGATTTATAAAAATGAAATTGTATTACAGAATATGAAATGTAGTGAATTGAGAGCACGAATAAAGTGACTAAATATTCAATACTGTATGCATTAAAATGTTAGGAATTGACAAATATTGATATAGTTTGGAAGAAATTGAGTAATAAATTGAACAATTTATAAATGCTGGCAATTATACAACAAATTGATTGTCATTTTGCGCAAACATGTCAATCAAATGAGGAAAAATAAATACTGTATTTATAAAATTAGACATCAATTTATGAGTGATTGTGAAATGAATACTAAAGTAGTGGCAAAAATGATGTGCACTTCTCAATGTTATAATCGCTAAAACGCAAGCAATATATTGTGTAATAAAAAAAAGTTATCAAAACAACAAAACTATTTGAGAAATAAAAGTATTGCGAAACCAACGGCTCATTACATAACACAAGTGTTTGCGCTTATAATGAATATTCCGCAGAAGAAAACTCAAAGTCCTATAAAACAAGTGATATTTGAATATTAATAGAGAAGTGAATGCATTGAATGAATGCAATGAATGTTGAGATGAAATGGTTTGGCATTAATTCAGACCGAAATCTGTCGGAAAATATGTGAGTTTTGTGGCAAACAATGCGGAGAACACCCCATAAAGGGGTCGAAGTTTGCACCAAACAAACCAAACGCTGAGATGTGATCAAAGAGTTGACTCCAAAGCCATCAAAACAGTGCAAAAATACAATACATTTTTGATACACTTTTTTAGACCAAAATTTCAATTATTTATTTAAACCAAAAGTCATTTACAATTAATTTAGTTATAAATTGTTTACAAGTTTTCGCGTTTTCACACCAAATATCAGTCGACAGTCTTTGCGGACACAATCTCTGGAGTGGAGTGTGTTTTGTGGCCAAAGAAGTAGGAAATACGAGACAATTGTTGACACAATCGGAACCAAAATGTGAAACACTTCCCGAAGTTTTGTCTTTGAAAGCGAGTTGTGTTTTGCGACACTAATTGTGTTGAATAAATGCGAGACACGATTCACAGCACCGCCGAAGAAGAAGACAACGATCTTCGCGACGACTGGCCATTTGTGTGACGACCGAAGAGTCGAAATGTCAAGCGTTGGCCGCAAATAGTGATCGCACGAAACGGTTGGTCACGAGATGTTGAAGTCGATGAAGTCGTTGTCCAAACAGACGAAGACTGTGTCCAGAAAATGCATTTCAGTCAACATCTCTTCAATGGACGCGCAGTTGGAGTTCGACATCGAAAGGTCCGCCTTTGGCCGCGACCTCATAGACCTCGTGTGCCGTACGATAGGTCTTCGAGAGGTCGCCTACTTTGGCCTTCAATACATCGACAGCAAGGGATTCAACGCGTGGCTAAAGCCCGACAAGAAGATCATCGATCAGGACATCCAATGCCATCGAACCACGGAAGACGGCCACCGGAAGCCGTCGAAGAACCAGGATCAGTTGATGTATTTCCTGTTTTTGGCCAAATTCTTTCCCGAAGACGTGGCCGAAGAGCTGATCCAAGAGATCACTCAACACCTGTTCTATCTGCAGGTGAAACAAGCGATCCTAAATATGGACATCTTTTGCCCGCCGGAGGCGAGCGTTCTGTTGGCCTCGTATGCGGTTCAGGCGAAGTACGGCGACTACGATGAGGCCAACTATAAGCCGGGAATGTTGGCCGACGCGGAGGACCTGTTGCCGCAGCGGGTGATCGATCAGTACCAGATGACGCCCGAGATGTGGGAGGAGAGGATCAAGATATGGTACGCCGACCACAGAGGCATGACTCGAGACGAGGCCGAAATGGAGTACTTGAAGATCGCTCAGGACCTCGACATGTATGGCATCAACTACTTCCCCATCAGCAACAAGAAGGAGAGCGAACTATGGCTCGGAGTGGCGGCACTCGGGCTCAGTATCTACGAGAAGAACAACAAACTGTCGCCGAAGATATTCTTCCCGTGGAGTGAAATCCGGAACATCTCATACGACGACAAGAAGTTTACGATCAAACCGGTGGATAGGGCGCACTCACCCAACTTCATGTTCTACTCATCCAAGACTCGCATGAATAAACTGATTCTCGACCTCTGCATCGGTAACCACGACCTCTTCATGCGTCGCCGGAAACCCGATTCCATGGAATTGCAACAAATGAAAGCTCAGGCGCGCGAAGAGAAGGCCCGCCGACAGAAGGAGCGCCAGAAGCTGTCGCACGAGAAGCGTCTGCGCGAAGAGGCCGAGCGCGAGAGGGGAGAACTCGAGCAGCGGCTGCTCCAGTATCAGGACGAAGCGCACGGCGCTCAGGAGGCCCTCCGCCGCTCCGAAGAGACGGCCGATCTGTTGGCCGAAAAGGCTCGGGTGGCCGAAGAGGAAGCGATGCTCTTGTCTCAGAAGGCGGCCGAAGCCGAGGCGGAGATACAGCGGATCAAAATCAGTGCCATAAAGACAGAGGAGGAGAAGGTGTTTATGGAGAGGAAGGCGGCGGAGGCCGAGCTCTTGGCCTCAACGATGGTCGAGGAGAGCGAACGGCGCGGCAAAGAAGCGGAACAGTTGCGCAACGAATTGTTGAGAGCGAAAGTGTCCGAAAGACACGCCAAAGAGAAGTTGATGGACGTGTTGAGAGGGCCCACATCACCAAAGAGTCCCAAACAGATGAACGGAACCAATATAATGATTGGCAGCCATTACGGCGAGAGTGCGATCATTAATGGCATGAATGCGATGGACAGTCACGACGACGTGAACAACTACTTTGTGGACGGATTGCCGACGAATGGCATGAATGTGTTGCGAGACTTGAGTGAATTGCGGCTCAACGACGCCAACGACCACTTGGCCTATCGTTCGGCCAACGGTTCGTCGCCCTATCACTCGGCATACAATACCAGTTCCATAACAGTGACGACATCGTCGACATCAATGCCGGCCTCGAGCAGCACTGCCCGCACGCACGGACTCAGTCTCATGAGCTCAACCGTATGCGATCTGTTGAGCGATTCAGATGTGGAGAAGTTGGCCCTCGAGATCGAGAAGGAGAGGATTGAGTACTTGGAAAAGTCGCGTCACCTCCAGGAACAGCTCCGCGATCTCAAGTCGGAGATACAAGTGCTCAAAGTGGAGGACAAACTGACGCCATTGGATCGCTTCCACGAAGAGGCCGTCAATAAAGGGGAGACTAAATACTCGACATTACGCCGGACCCGATCGGGAACTACCAAAGCACGCGTCGCCTTCTTTGAAGAATTATAAGACAATACACACAACATATAGAAGAACTAATCAATCATCACATCCGACCACAAGTGGACTTAAATTTATACATAAATCTATAATAATGTTAACAGAATTTGAATAATTTATTTTTTAATTTATATATTTTTTGCTATACTTTTTGTTTGGCCACTAATAATATGAGTGTTTAATACAATGAACGCAACTCTACAGCAGAGCCCACTGTGCGCTCACCCAAAGGCAGCAATCGATTCAAAACCATTTATTCGTCACTCATTTTATTCAACGATTTTATTCATTATTTTCAAATCAAAGACTAATTAATAATTATAATTACAATTGGAATTCTTGTGCCAAACGTTTGGCCCAATATTTATGAACAAAGAAACGAAAGAAACACTTATTTTACGTGTATTTTATAAATGTTATCGTGTTTTGTAGTTATAGTTAAAAGTTTAAATAATTTTTAAAAAGTATATTTAAGTAAAAATACAATTTAATGACAACAAGATTTGAATCAATTCTCTAATCGGAATCGGCGTCAGAGGCGGGCGTCGACTCCGCGCTCTCCTCTTCTTTGGAATCCATTTCCACGTCTGACTCCTCTTTCTTTGACTTCTTTTTGTCCGCTTTTTTGTCCACTTTCTTGTCCTCCTTTTTCGTGTCTTTCGACTTACTCTTCGACTTCTTCTTCTTATCGGCCGAATCAGATCCCGAGTCGTCGGAACTGCTGTCCGAATCGCTGATGTATTCCTTAGACTTGATTTTCTTGCTGTTACTCTTCGTCGGCGAAGAATCGGACTTCGACTTTGAAGTCTTGGGTTTAGCGGTAAAGTTGCCGGCGTTGTACTCTTCCATCTCCTTTTCGTACGCCTTCTTGGCTTCGGCCGCCTTTTGATCCCATTTGGTCTTATCCTTCATCTCTTTCCAGAGTTCTCCTGCCTTTTTGGCCATATCTGTCATACTAATACCCGGATGTTTCTTCTTTATGTTCTCCCGATTGTCGTTGAACCACAAGAAGTACGCAGACATCGGTCTCTTCGGCCGATTCTCGTCCTTTCCTTCTTTCTTCTTCTTCGTTGACTTCTCTTTCTTCTCTTTTTTCGCTTTCTTGGGCTTCTCTTTGGGTTTCTCTTTCTTAGGCTTCTTGTGGTGTCCGCCGCCCTCTGCGTCTGACTCATCGGAATCACTGCCCGAAGCATTGGAGTCGAACTCCTCGGCCACGTCGTCGCTCTCTCGGCCCGGATTGAACGACTCGTCCGACTCATCGGAGTCATCGCCCCCTTGCGTACGAATCCTTCCCTCTTCGCGGACGCGCTGTAGGTATGCGTCGGGCTCTGCCTCGACGTCCGAATCAATTAAGTCGTCGTCCACTCTCTGTTTGGACCGCTTCTCGCCTTCAGTTCCTCTGTTCTTAACTCTCAGATTCTTTTTGGACACAAAGTCAAAGAGTTTAGAGTATTCTTCCTTTTCAATGGAACTAAACGTGTGAACGAAACCCGATTTGGTCTCCACTTCGAAGTCGAAAGAACGAGTGGAACCACCACTTCGGGCGAAATTAATCGACAAAATCTCTTCAAAACGGATATGAATGGGAGGTTTGTGGACATACATAAAGCCTCTGTCCAGCGGATACAATAGGCCAGCGCTCGCCCTATAAGAGCACGTGATTACGGGAACGTCTTTCTGGGAACAGAAGGACGGGTCGGGAATTGTGATCTTCCGCTGCACTAAAACGCGCATAACTTTGGCCAACACTTCGTTGACGGGTCCGGACATTGTTGTCTGCAGTTTGCCGTCGTATTTCTCTTTGAGTTCGCGTTCAGAGAGACCCAAATCGAGTGACATTTCCTCCTCTTTGTTGAACAAAAGGATGAGGAAGTGATACCTCGTCTGTCCCTGTTTTATGGGCGGATCCAAAGACATGACAAAAAACATTTGTCGACTGTCTTTGTGCGGCAATTGGAAGAGTCGTAACACAGAAGTGATGGGAATCTTGTAATCAAATGTCTTTCCGTGCAATTGTATGAAAGTCGGGAATATCTTGATATCATAACGACCTCTGGGTGTCAGGCATTGCAGCTCTTTGAATGTGGCGATCGCGTCGCCCGTGGCCTGAATGATGGACGCCTTGTCCAACACCTGTTCCATAAAACTCGCGACCGGATCCACGCCATCGATGGTCGGGATGTGGAAACGCATTTCCATCAAACTGTTGGGCGCGTCGTCGTTGTGGTGGAACTCAAGGGTCACCTCATTCTTAGCGGTCGTACAGTGGCTCACATTCATGAGCGGCACCTCAAAGGCTCGCTCAGACTTCTTCACGTCAAAGCCGAGGACAGCGCCGTCGAAGGCAGCGGTTCCCCAATTCCAGCCCCGAAGACTGTTATCACGCGTTTTGAGTTCGAGTCCATACTGTTTGTCGAAGAACTTTCCCAACTTCTCGTAATCCGATTCATTGAAGCCTCCGAAGCGATACATGTGTCCGCTGGCGGTCATCACCCGTAGGGCCCACTCGCCGGCCATCCGGTGCCAAGTGATGGACTCCACGTCTGAACCCGTGATTGTCTCCACTTTTCCCGTTTTGCTGCTCTTGAAGATCACTTGACTGTTCGTTAACTTCAGTCGCCCTAAGATCTGATCCCAACAAATGGACAACAAAGCAATGGTTAGCCGAAGATTGAGCGCTGTGTCATGTGATGGCCACACTTACCATCGATCCCCTCTCCTCTTTGGACGAGTCGTTGTACTCGAGGTAATCCATGTCCACAACTGTCACCTTAAGATCAGATCCAATGAATGCGTGAAACGAGAAGAAAACGTTTGTTTTTGTGGACAAAATTGTCTGAAAAGACGACAACAAAAACACAACACTTTTAACCAATGATTACGTCATTTAAACAACACTTCAATGCAATTGACATTCAATGCAATGAAGGCTTCATTTCTCAGACGTTATTCATTGAAAGCATTGAACGAAACGATTGTTTTGCGCCAAAAGAGCGTTAAATTGACGCCAATTTTCAATGATTTAAAGGGGTTTCACTGTAAGTACAGTCAAACCTATTTATACACACATTTTTCGCACCTTTTAATTGAGTCAATACTGTATTTATGTGTAAAGTGTATGAAATTTCCAATAAATCACTCGTTTATTGAGAGGAAAAATAGTTTTGAAAAGTTTTGCTCAACTTTTTTTGAGCCAACAATAGATAGGATTGCAATGAATGGATGTAATGAAAGGGAGGGACTGGTGGTGGCGAACAGCTCTCAATTAAAGCGATTAAGTTATCCGTAAAACAACTCAATAAGAAGTCAGAAGAATAAGATTTAAACAACTTTTTATAGTTTTAATAAATTGCGAAAAAATTGATTGAAATTTTTACAATTGTTTTCGTAGTTTTCCGGCCTTTGATTGAATCAAAAACAAGAATCAAATTTCTTTTTACAAACACTTCTTTGTTGTCCATTAAATACAATATTTATAAACAATTATCTCGTTTTGTGTAGAAATATATTATAGGAATTGAATGCGAGTTTAAAATTGAACTCTAAATAATAAAATATCCAAAACTTGTTATACTTTTGTTTGCTTTTTGTTGTAATCTCTGTATTGGTTATGCAATTATCTGAACCCCTGATGACTGTAGGGATAACTCTGTTGTGGAGGCGTTGGCATCATTTGGGGCGCGTATATCGGATAGGGAGGCATATTGTGTGGATTGGCGGCCGACGAGGCGAAAGGCAGTGACGCGGGCGGCGGCGGTGCCGGCCGTTGAGGGGCGTAGAGATTGGCCGCAGAGCTGGCGGAGCGGTTAAAGTCCATCATTTTGTCGGTCTTTATTCGCCGCAAATGAGATAACTTTCGTTTATCGATAAACTCTTTGATGAATGAATCGAAGTCCAGCTTCTGCTCCACGAAAGCGGTGGCGATCTCTTCGGACTCTTCCTCGGCCTCAGCGGCCGCCGCCTGCATGAGTGCCAGCCGTGTGTCCAGCGATGTCTGTCGAGACACTTCCGACAGCCGCGACTTCTTGGCGTCCAACTCTTGCTTCAGGCCTTTGAGTTCGTTGTGGCCATCGATCAGCTGTTGTCGCGTCTGGCGATACGTCGGCTCTCGAGACAGATTCAGTTCCGCCGAAGACTTGTTGGCCTCAATCAGTCGATCCCTTTCGCTCTCCAGTGAACGCAACTATAGGTTAAGACATAAACATATAATAAGATCATCAAAACGCGCTTAGAATGGGATCTAATGGGAGTGATGTCCGCATAGACACAGACCTGCGGTAAGTCTTTAATCAAATGATCCAATTGTTGACAGTTCTGGTCGTTCACCAGTTGTCTCAGCTCTTCGTTTGACAATTGGTTGACGAGAGCCGTCACCGAAGAGATGTCGACGTCAGCCGACCAACGGTTCGAGTAAGACATGTGTGTCTGAGAGTGGAGTACGGGTTCAGCCAAAGACAGGACAATCGATGTCTTCAATGCTTTTTGTCCTCACTTTCGACACAAAACGGGAAAACAATTGAAAATTTTGTTTTCATTCAATCATTCAATGAATCATTCATTCAGTCATCGATTGTCACGTTATTTGCGAATTACTCCCACAGATGGCACTCAAAGACATTATGCGTTCATAAATTCTGTTACATTTATATTTTGTTTTATATTTGGGGGCGAATTTAAAATGAGATAAAAGTAAAATTAACAATAATAGTTATATTAGGATAATGTTGATTAAATTTGAGTGATGATGGTGACATTTTGGCACCATGTAGATCTTAATTAATCCATAATATATCGGTTCACACGATAAATATGTTAAGTATTTTAAAAATAATTTATTCAATCATTTGTTAAGTCATTAATTTGTGGGTAATTTTATTTTACAAAATAAATAATTAAATAAAAGTTAGCATAAAATCTATAAAATATCTGTTCGTTTAGTTTGTATAATAATTTTAATTGACAAATAATTGTCAAATGATTTCTTAACTTATATTTGTAATGATATGTTTGACACCAAGAATTGGAGATTAGTTTTAAAATTTGTTATAATTTACTTTAATATAAGGCATGAGTCGAACAAATGTATTGATATGTTTCTAAGCATGTAATCCATAAAAATACACATTATTTCCATTGATTAGCAAAATATAATTAACAAAAATATTTGTATAAAAAGCATTTGTAGCTCACTTTGACATAACATATAAGGCATTAATGATTAGTTACTTAAATAAAATTGAAAAAATAAATCTTAAGACAATTAATGATGAGTTGTTTAATAAGTTATTGAAAAGTAATGACACTAATTACTGACGAGCAAATGAAGACAACCAAAACGCTTAAACAAATGTAACAAATTATCATTTTCTGTAAATAAGCAATTAATCAATATTAGTATTACATTTGGCTATTAATACATGTAAACAATTAACAGTTATTTAGGGATTAATTAAACAATTGTTACGATAAGCGGAAGCAACAGTTGAAGACACAGAAGACTCAGATTACAGGAATTTATCAAATTTAAGCACAATTTATAAAAACAATTGCAAAGACATTGAAAAGAATTTGCAGTAATAGACGAGTTATAAGAGGAATAGAATTGGCCGCCAATTCTGACAGATATTATCACAGAATTTCAACGAAGAATTGTTAGGAAACAATGATAACAAACTGTTGGGAAAATTGAAGTAATGAAAAACCTACGATAGAAAAACGATAAGACAAGTGATGATAACCGCCAATAGAATCAATATAATCACTATAAATATACATTTCTAGAAAAAAAGAGAAAAACCCAAAATAAAATGAAAAAGTCATGCATTTGTATAAATTAAATAATATTCTAGTCGTGAATTCCGGTCACAATATTATATCAAATCAATCAATCGGTTAGATATTTCATTCACTAATACGTGTTATAAAAATCGTGCTTTAGGTTAGTGTTGTTAAAACAAATGTGAGATATTTTTGATGACCGGAAAAGTTTTTATTTGGTGTTTAATTGAACCAAAAAACACCAAATTATTGTTTATCAATCATTCATACCTTTCTAGACTTTGATTGAAAAGCGAGTGCTTTTTTGGTCTCTTGTTTGCCATCTTCGACGTACTCTCTCGATGTGACCACTTGTGTCTCAATTCTGTCGATTATCTCTCCCTTTAAACAAATAAACCCGGATTTGGTTTTTATAATAGGAAAATACAGCACTCAATGCTTTTGCAGAAGTTTATTGATGTTATGAATGAATACAATCGCATTCAACTCGAGTATCGGGAGAAATGCAAAGATCGCATCACTCGACAGCTTTTAATCAGTGAGTAAATTATGTGGCGATTACTTGAAGGCATATGATCACATGATCACATGGCTTACGTGATCACATCGAAGGCATATGTCGACGACGGGAGAGTTGAGTTGGGAATCGCACGCAAACATAAGGCAAAGTCTAGAAAAGTATGTCATAATCATGTTTTCTCTTATGAGGGAATTCTCCTACAATTATTGCCACAATTAGATATGAAATGAAAACTGAGATTTCTATTTCTGTCATAAGATTGGATTACATCTAATATTAGTTCAATATTTTTAAATAATTATTGTTAGTTAAAATCCATAATATTTATTTTTACATATTACTGATTGGACCCGAATTTACGACTAGATTATTATCTAATTGATACAATTGCATGACTTTTTAAAATTTTGTTTCCGACTTTTTTTTATTATAGAAATGTATATATATTGTAATAATTGTGGTTTTATTGGCGGTTCTCATCACATGTCTCGCTATTTTTCTTTAATAATCTCTTTATTAACTCATCTCATCTGCCAAATAGTTAGTGAAGTATTTTTGTCGTTATTTTGTAAATTCTCACATTTCCCTAAACTGTGTTTATGTTGTGATAATTGTTTAGTTAATCCCGAAGTACTGTTCACTATTTGTAATCATATGGCTTAAAAAACCCATTTAGTCATTAAATGGACTAGGACATTCTAATTAATATGAACGTGTTCAGTGATGTCCACAGATGCATTTTCCGTCGAGATAATCTGCCAATGGCTAGAAATGACCGAATTATGAACAAAATTGGAAATTTATACAGTGTTTAAAGCATAGAATAACAATTAGAGAATAACATTTTTGTGAATGGATCAAGTTTTGTGTGAAATCATAACTTTCAATGCTTTCAACGCTATGTATTTAATTCGAATTTTGTCCATAATAATTATTGGGTAATTTCAGGCCATTTGGCAGATTATCTCGATGTAAAATACATTTGTGCATCACACTGAACACGTCCATATCAATTAGAATAACCTAGACTATTTGATGACTAAATTGGTTCCTTTTAGGCATAGATTTTAATACTAATTGACATTCATTGCTTATTTATAGAAAATTTTAAAGATATGTTCCGGCGTGGTAGTTGTCATCATTTGCTCAGCACTATTATTTTAAACATTACGGTAATATTTTGTAAATAACTTATTAATTAACTTATAATTGACCTTAAATTTATTGTAATTATTATGCGGTTACTAATCATTAATGACATATAATATTATTTATATAAAAGTAAGACATATTTTTGTGCATAAAATTTTATATTTAATTATAATGAAAATATAATAAAATAGTTTAATAAATATCAGAATATTTTAAAAGTTGCTACTTTTACTGATCCATGTTTACTAAATTTAGTATAATTTAGAGTTGGCCAACAAGTGTTTAAAATATTTTTTATTATACCTGTATGTTAATACTTTATAAGACATATTTTATATTAAATGTTAAATATACATTTAACAAACATAATTAGTAATATTTAAAAGTATATGAATTAACTTTATATGGATTAAATTAATTACAATTTAAAAGTCTATGTAAATAGAATATAACAAGATATCAATTTATTATATTATGTAATTTATATAACCTTATTTTAATTTGTCAAGTTTATCAAATTACCCTAATTTACAATAAAATTTACCCTTATAATTATATAAAATAGTTAATATAAAGTGGTCAAATAGTTATTAATTTTACAATTTAATAATATTTTATAGTTTCACATAATATTCTTCGCATACATTGACATAAAAATGCAAATTCTGGTCTCAAATAAACAAATGTCACAAATTCTGGGGCAACAAAATTGTGAACTAAATGTGCGGTTCATAGTAACGGGTATTCATAACATGTAGAATATAAAGTACATGTTAGGCAACAAAAATCTAGATAAATATCAAATACCCATTTATAAAATCACTGAATTTATCTCGACAGACATGCTATACATGTATATAACGGCTAATTAATAATACAAATGTCAAAAATAATTGCTGTAATAATTATATCGCAATACAAAGCTCTTGAAAAAAGTTTTTTCATTTTTTATACATTTTGTGCAATGATTTATATAGTTATGCGATAAACGAGTATTTCAGTGACAATAACCACTGATTAGTCATCTCTGCTAACGTTGTGTACAATACTTATCACTAAAACTACATTTAGTTTTGTTGAGCGAAAAGCCATTGAAACAAACACTTGATTGTAATCCAATGCAACTCTCGCTGCAAATGTGCTGTCAATGTATGGTCTCTATGAAGGCGTCACTCAATCACTACTCTCTGAAAATATGTCCACTTTTTCGACACATATTTATTGGCATTTGTTTTGAATTTACATTTAATTAGTTTTAGTGTTGATATGAGTTGTTGTGATTGGTTTTGTCACAACAATTAGCGTTTCAAACAGTGATCTTATGATTAGTTTTTGTGTTTGAATTTCATTCATAAAAGTCAACAAAAGAGGAAAATATTGTATTGTTTTTGTCGGCATTTTTTGTGTCCATTTATTTTGATCGTCGGATCCGAAGAACACAATGGTTAAGGACAGACTCCATGAGCTCCGGGCGGTATGTCTTGTATACGACACGTGTTGTGCTCTTTATTGATGTTTTCTATGATTGTAGGCTCAGGAGGACACAGACAATCATGTGGTGATTATCACCGAAAACACATCCTTACGCAACCAAATGGACGCCTTTTTCCAAGAGGTTCGCCGCTCAGGCTATTGACCCGATTGGCCCCCAACTCACTAAACATATGTCTTTTATTTGATCCATAGGTGGAAGTGATTCGCGAGAATATCGACAAAATGTTCGCAAATGTCGAAGAAGTGAAAAAAATTCACTCAAAGATCTTAAGTTCGCCGACAAATGATGAGAGTATGTGTTGTGTCCTCTCTTTTCACTCGCCATTAGTTTCTCTTATTATTAATGTTGTAATCATTTGTTTGGTTTGTCTCTCAAATCAGATATGAAGAAACAATTAGAAGATCTGATGGCAGACGTGAAACGGACGGCCAGTAAAGTGAGGGATAAGTTAAAAGGTTTTAATCACTTTTGTTGTCTTTAGCTCTTGTTAGCGAATAATCTTCTAATCGTTTGTCTGTTTTGTGTCAGCGATAGAAATGAATATCGAGGCGATGGAGAAGAGCGGTTCTATGAGTGCCGACTTCCGGATCAAGAAAATACAGCACTCGATGTTATTGCAGAAGTTTATTGATGTTATGAATGATTACAATAAGACACAAGTCGAGTATCGGGAGAAATGCAAGGATCGCATCACAAGACAATTATATATAAGTGAGTCAATTGTGTGACCATTACTTCTCTCCGCTTTATCCTAAACCTATACTTTGTCTCAACAGCTGGTCGTCAGACAACTAACGAAGAAGTAGAGGAAATGTTAGAGAGCGGCAATCCTACCATTTTTACACAAGGAGTACGTCTTCTGACAATTGATTTGACCACAAATTATTGATATAATTGTGTTTTATTACTAACAGATAATAACAGACACACAACAGGCCAAACAATCACTGGCCGACATCCAGGCCCGACACGCGGACATTATTAAACTCGAGAATAGTATTGACCACAAATTATTGATATAATTGTGTTTTATTACTAATAGATAATAACAGACACACAACAGGCCAAACAATCACTGGCCGACATCCAGGCCCGACACGCGGACATTATTAAACTCGAGAATAGTATCCGGGAAATGCATGATATGTTCATTGATATGGCACTCCTTATTGAGAATCAGGTGCTTATCATTTATACCTTGATTTTGATCTCATTTATTATGTGTTATAAAAACCAAATCCGGGTTTATTTGTTTAAAGGGAGAGATAATCGACAGAATTGAGACACAAGTGGTCACATCGAGAGAGTACGTCGAAGATGGCAAACAAGAGACCAAAAAAGCACTCGCTTTCCAATCAAAGTCTAGAAAGGTATGAATGATTGATAAACAATAATTTGGTGTTTTTTGTTCAATTAGACACCAAATAAAAGCTTTTCCGGTCATCAAAAATATCTCACATTTGTTTTAACAACACTAACCGAATGCACGATTTTTATAACACGTTTTAGTGAATGAAATATCTAACTTATTGATTGATTTGATATACTATTGTGACCGGAATTCACGACTAGAATATTATTTGATTTATACAAATGCATGACTTTTTCATTTTATTTTGGGTTTTTCTCTTTTTTTCTAGAAATGTATATTTATAGTGATTATATTGATTCTATTGGCGGTTGTCATCACTTGTCTTATCGTTTTTCTATCGTAGGTTTTTCATTACTTCAATTTTCCCAACAGTTTGTTATCATTGTTTCCCAACAATTCTTCGTTGAAATTCTGTGATAATATCTGTCAGAATTGGCGACCAATTCTATCCCTCTTATAACTCGTCTATTATTGCAAACTATTTTCAATGTCTTTGCAATTGTTTTTATAAATTGTGCTTAAATTTGATAAATTCCTGTAATCTGAGTCTTCTGTGTCTTCAACTGTCGCTTCCGCTTATCGTAACAATTGTTTAATTAATCCCTAAATAACTGTTAATTGTTTACATGTATTAATAGCTAAAATTTAATACTAATATTGATTAATTGCTTATTTACAGAAAATGATAATTTGTTACATTTGTTTAAGCGTTTTGGTTGTCTTCATTTGCTCGTCAGTAATTAGTGTCATTACTTTTCAATAACTTATTAAAC